ACAATGAAATGAAAGAACAAAAGCCACAGCCTAAGGATGGTGGAGCAGAAAGACAAAAGACTACTGTTCTCTCCTGACTGTGTGCTACTGCTCCGCCCTGGGTCCCCACAATTCTTTTGGATTGGAGAGAAACATATGCCCATCTTATCTGAGCCAACAAAATTACTAATGGGTAGACCCACTGCCAGCCTCTGGAGTAGCTCCCTTCTAGGCTCACCCCCAACATTGGCAGGGCCAAGAGTCAAGATGTGGACGCCTCGCCTGTGGCTCCCCTTCCCTGCCTGTCCCTGGTTCTGTCCACTCTGCGAGGACATCCGAGCTCACCCTTCCAAGCTCATCCCCAGGCTAACACTGCTCCTTGACACTCTTCAGGCCTAGGGTACCCATGCTTTCCACCCGGAGGAAAAGCCTGGGAGAGGTTGGGGGAGGCTCTGGTACTGAATGCAAAGACATTTGGGCAAGGAGCTCCAGGATCCTGGGAACCCAAGGCATTGTCTAGAGGTGGCAGGAGGCTCCAGGCCTGTGATCTCCTCACCTTGTGAGAAGTGTGGCCCCTGAAGGCACAGGACCCACAGGGGTCCCAGTTGCCAGGAGATCTCGTTCTTGCCTCCTAATCCTTGTCTTTTCATCATTCATAACTCGACAGCAGAACAAAACTTGAAGTAATCCAGTTAACTACTTGTTATAAGAACCTTGGTAAAAATGGCCTTTTAGAGCAGTGGTTCTCAACCTTTCTAATGCCTCGACCCTTTAATATAGTTCCTTCCTCATGTTGTGGTGACCCCCAGCCATAAAATTATTTTCGTTGCTACATAACTGTAATTTCGTTAGTTCATAACTGTAATTTTGCAACCCACAGGTTGAGAACCACTAGCAGGGTCGCCTAAGACCATCGGGAAAACACAGATATTTACATTACAATTCATAGCAGTAGCAAAATAACAGCGATGAAGTAGCAATGAAAATAATTTTATGGTTGGGGGTCACCACAGCATGAGGAACTGTATTAAAGGGTCGCGGCATTAGAAAGGTTGAGAACCCCGTTTTAGAGGAAAAGTCTGGAACTCTGGCTTGAACTGTGTTGTTTTCCTCTCATCCTTAATGCCACTACTACCTTCTCTCTTTATGAAAGTGTATAATGAAAAGTTGATTAAGACTGGTTCCTGGCAAGCTTTTCTTTGGAGAGCTGGATGGCTAAGCACAAGTTTATCAATCAACTGCAATATTGGTGCTAGTGTACTGAATGAAGGAGGAGTCTCTAAATCCTTGGTCTCTGTCATTTGCACATCTACCTACTTGAGGGAACTAAATGGCATTTATCTGGATCTGTTTGCACAAACACTGCATCTGGGAAGGGACTGGAATCAGTTTCAAACCCTGGCTACCGATATTGGAACAGAGACTGCCGCCCTCAGAGAACCATATGGGAGCAGGTGGGAACGCTGTAAGGTGTGCCTCTGAAATGACCCAGGACGGGCCCCGAACAGGCTGGGCACCTTTCTCTGCTACTTAGGAAGCCCTGGACTCAGCCTACGGGAGCAAAGATGTGGCAGTGCCACCGACGACGGGCTCCAACCTCCAGTTCACACACTGAGCACAAGGACTCATTCCTCGAGGAATCTGCCTCCTCTCAGTGGCCTGCCTGACAGGCCAGTGAAGCTAGCCTCACAGACATGAAAATACCCAAACCGTTGCACTTTCTCTGGGCTTTCATCTGAGCTATTTTCCTTTAGTTCAGTAATTCTCAGCCTTATTTTGCATTTCCGATCTCTATGTCCTTGAGACTGGATAATTACCAAAGGAAATGAGTTCTCACCCATACTTCAGAGAGCTGGCATGGCCCTTCAAACAGCAAGACGGAATTAAAAGACCACTGAGCGAATTAATCTTGATACAGATTGAATGCTTGTGTTCCCTCAAAAGTTCATATACTGAAACTTAATCACCAATGCAATGGTATTAAGAAATGGATCTGTTGCTGAAACCAGTTTGGCTCAGTGGATAGAGTGTCAGTCTGCGGACTGAAAGGTCCCAGGTTCGATTCTGCATGCACATTGGTTGCAGGCACATCCCCAATAGGGGGCATGCAGGAGGCAGCTGGTCAATGCTTTTCTCTCATCGATGTTTCTAGCTATCCATCCCTCTCCATTTCGGTGAAAAGTCAATAAAATAAATTAAAAAAAAAAAAGAAGTGGGGCTGTTGAGAGGTGATTAGATTAAGAAGGTGGAGGCATCATAAATGGGTTTTGTGTCCTTAAAAAAGAGATCCCAGTGGGGAACAGTGGGGAAACAAAACAAAACAAAAACCAACCACACACAAAGAGACCCCAGAGAGCTCCTTTTCCCCTTCTGTCAGGGGAAGACACAACGAGGAGACAATTAATTGCCTATGAGCCAGGAAAAGCGCTCTCACCAGGCACAGAATCTAATGATACTTTGATCTTGGACTCACCAGCCTCCAGAACTAAACATGAGAATCAAATGTTCAGTCTTCTAAGCCACCTAGTTTATGTTATTTTTGTTATAGCAGCTCAGGGAGATGAAGATTATGTCCCCAGCTTTCTATCTATATGTTGTTGGTTAGTTTCCCTATAGGAAAAGTGGTTTATAAGATACCGCCTCGGTCTAAGGTGCCATGGTGCTACACAGTGCTATGAAATGACAGGCATATTAAATATCCTTTCCCCCATCCTCATCTAATTTCTTCTTATCTGTCAGGTCTTGGCTTAGAAGCTAGTCCATTCCGTAGGCCTTCCCTCCCTCTCCCCAGCCTGCAGTGTGGGCTGGAGACTCTTCTCTGCGTTCCCATGGTGCTCTGGACTTCCTTATTTGAAGTTGTATCCTCAGCACCCATTTCTAGCAGGAACTCAATGACACAGCATCTGAAATGATGAAATGGGGGATGGTTTCTGATAGCTACCACCCCTTGGTCACTGGACTAGTGAGCGATGTTCTGAGATAACTATTCATGGAACATGCTGGAATAGCCTTTGTTCTCCTGCCTGCATTTGGAGTACACACCTACTGAGTAAGATGACAGTACCACTGTTTTGTGTGTGTTTTTTCAGGGGAAAAATGGAAAGAAATCTTCCATTTTTATGGTCAGAGACACACAGACTACTATACTTATCTCAGTTCTCATTAGTAAAATAGAAGGTCCTATACCTTCTCTTCTGAGCTCTTCAAATTAATCTAAGGTCTGATTGTCCCAAAGCATTACTAATTGTATAGCAACATCGTTTATATCACAAGATTGGGAATGACACACATGTCCAGTCAAAGAGTGATGGTTAAGTAAACTATGACACTAAGTAAACTGGTGAACACATGCAGCTTCTGACAATGTGCCCACCATGTAGCCTGAAGTTAAAGGGGAGACATACATGACCTCTGCCGTGTGGCTGCCATCATGGGAAACACACTAAAGAGATGCATACAATATAGAAAGATGTGCTACAGAATATTAAGAATGACTCTGTTTATGTGTTAGAACTATGGATGGTTTTCTTTCTGTGTTTCCGAATTTTTTCAGATTTTTCTCATGGTGAAAAATCAAAACAAAAAATCACTTCATTGTTAATTAAAAACATCTTGTTCTTTTCTGCTAGGAAACTTTTGGCTATTGACACTGGATGTGTCCGCTTGAATGAGCTGCATAGAGGAGCAGAGAGAAGACCCTGTGATACAATCAAAGCAGGGGATGGAAGCATATGGAATCCTCTGGAGCAGCGACTAACTGCCTGTGTAATAGTCACTGATCTGAGCTCTTCCTACATGCCAGACATTGCCCATACTTTTTTTTTTTTTTTTCTCATTTGTCCTCATAAACATTGTAAGGCATGGGTACTCATGTTACTGCCATCTTCTAGCCAAAACTGAGCCTGAGATTGGTCGGTTCTTTTGCTGGTATGAAGGGAAGCTGCTGAGTTGACCCTGGTAGTCTGTCTCCATGGTCTGACATTTCCTCCCTGTGCTCTACTGCCCCCTTCAATGAGACAGCAGCGGCTGAGGGGGAACCGAGCACAATTCTAAGCCACACTTCATTTCACGCAATGATCTGTGTCCACAAAGGCACAACAGCTGCTATTCCCACCTTTAGGAGAGTCTATTCAGGTAAGTCTTCAAATAACTCTTGTCAGTGGTATGGTCTCTGGTAGCCACTTGTTCACTATATTATCTCAGGGTGCTAATGAGAGGGGAGCCATAAATTGTCCTTCTTTGGGACAATATGCTCAGCTTTGAATATAAGACAAAAATCCAATGCCCTGGTGGCAACAGGCTTATTTATAGATGCTCTCATGGCCAACTTCGCAGCCCCAGACCAGCACCGATACATTCCAGGCCAGCTTCCCACTTTACAAGTGGATAATTGCTGCTCTCTCTTTGCCAGAACAATACAGGCAACCTGTCTCCATGCTCTTGTTGAAAGAAGATTCACCTTGCAAAGGACGGGTTACGCCCTGCCGACACCATTAGCGCACACAGCGCTTGGAGGCTCTCTATTACACAGTCACATTTCCTGTGCACAGAACCGGGTGGTGTAACATTTCTAGAAGGGAGGGGAGCGGAGACTTCACTACAGGAGCCTTCTAGGAGAACAGAGCAGGATGCCCGGGGCGAGTCCAGTCCTGCTGGAGTCAGGCTTATCCCTCAAGCACAGCGTCTGCCCCCCTCCCTGCCACTTCAGGGAAATGTGAAGGAAGCAAGGGGAACTATACACACAGTCCATGAAGTGAGCCAGGCAGATTGGTCTGGAGGAAGGGAGACTGGGCCTAAGGGAAATCCATTTCAAATTAAATTAAAATTAAAAACAAATGTGTGAGCCGAGAAACCTTAACGAGCAGAAGGAAACAACTAAACAGATAAATCCTAACAAGACAGAATGGAATCATCAGAGAAGGTGCCTTGAGGAAAACAACCAGAGGATATAATTGCGTCCATTGTACCCGGTCTCTTGGTCCCGTCCCCCGAGGGGCAGCCCTGTGGTGTCCGTCACTCACTTTCTCTGGAACCGGACCACGGGATCCGCCAGCAGGTCGGTGACATCCAGGGTCCTCCCCTTCTCGATGACGTCGCGGTGCTTCCGGACGAACAGCCACCCAATGTGGGAAAAGAAGAAGCCCCGGCGGGCGTTGTGCGGGTCGGCGTCCGTCTCCGAGTACTTGTGGTGGACGCGGTGGTCCCTGGACCACTCGAAGATGTCGTTCTGCAGGGAGAACACAGACCCTGAGTAAAGCGACAGTGCTCCCTGGCACCTTCTCAAAAGCATCCCAACCTCCCCCGGCCCCACGCCTCCCCATCCTCACCACGGACTTCCACTTGCTCTTATCCGCAGCCTCACGGTCAAGCCCTGCGGTTTTTCTGGGGTGGCTTCCGTAAGAACAAGAGTAAGTCCTCACTCACTCTAAGAGGGATCTTAGCTTGTGTTTGGGGTGTGTGTGCCTGCTGCAGATGGCTCAGACATATTGGGTGAACTAGTGGAGAACCCTGAAAGAAAGTTCTGGAGCAGGCTATCGAAGTCTCCTGAGAGATCATTCATGAAGAACAGAGAGACAGGATGAAGTCTCAGGATGAAGACTTGGTTGTCGGAGGTTGAGTATGAAAAGGGGTTGGTTCTTGGCCCAGAACTCTCTGCTCTCACACCCATTCTTTAATGGCCTTGACAGCCAACTTAATGGAGAGCAGGAAGCCAGCGAGTAAACACCCAAAGAGGTGCTTCACCAAGTCGCTGAAAAATACCAAGGCACACATAACATCGCTTACGGACTGCTCTAGCAGTGTGTCACAGAAAGGCAGGGAGGTGACTTTCCTGAGGGATCTGGTGTATGTGGCCATCCCCACCGTGAAGAAGCAGCAGTGCCCAAGGGGTGGGCTGGATACCAAGAGACGCTGCGGCCCACGAAAGGAGAAACATCAGAGTCCAGCAGATTCTGCCAAGCTCTCAGGGTGAGGCGCAGGCACACATGGGGACACACCCTGTTGACCCTCTTGTGATGGGAGATATGAGACAGGGGGCTGGAGGTCCTGTGTGAGCGATCAGGGGCAAAACCAAAGGCATTTAGGGCAGTATTGGTAATGACACCTTATCTATAGCCATGGGCCAGTGAAGTCTATAGACTTCTAATGTGTGCTCAGTTTTGCTTTTATCTGATAATGTTTTTAAATCTTTGAGGAGGCAAATTAGGTTGAAAGTGATTCTTTTAATAGGAAAATTAACCTGAAAAAAATATATATATAAAACTTTATATAGTGTATAAGCTCTTTTTTGAAAAATACAAATATAAGGCAATAGCTGAAACCGGTTTGGCTCAGTGGATAGAACATCAGCTTGTGGACTGAAAGGTCCCAGGTTCTATTCTGGTCAAGGGCATGTACCTTGGTTGTAGGTACATCCCCAGTGTGGGGGATACAGGAGGCAGCTGATTGATGTTTCTCTCTCATCGATGTTTCTAACTCTCTATCCCTCTCTCTTCCTCTCTGTAAAAAATTAATAAAATATATTTTAAAAATAAGGCAATAATGTTTGATACCATGCTATTCAGAACTTTGTCATGCTTTCATTAAGAATCTGCTATTTCACAGATATTGGCGTCATCCTGCTGATGAGAAGAAAGGGTACTATTTTATTCTAAAAGTTCTAACAAATATTTTAATCCAAATGCGGTTCATTGAGTTTTTGGTTTCTCTGACTCACCTAGTGCTACTAAAAGGCTACTCAACCTGGTGCATCCTGTAGCGCCATTGAAAACTTTTAACGTTTGCTTAACCCTGGGGTATAGCCAACTTTACCCAAAGGAGAGGTAGAAAGACCTTAAGAAGTATGTGCTCAGCTTAAATATAAAGAGAGGAAATGGGTGCTTAGCAGTTTTTCCTTGTATAAGGAAAAATTTACAACTTAGTTAATTGTGATCGAAAAAGAGGTCTTTGGATTTTACATATATTTAAACAGAATGTATTGGAAAGAGTGAATGCATTTATTATTAATAATCTCAGAATGTGTAGTTGGGAAGAAATTTCAAATGTCAGTCAAGACTACTGCAGCTGCCGGGACCGGTTTGGCTTAATGGATAGAGCGTCGGCTTGGGGACTGAAAGGTCCCGGGTTCGATTCTGGTCAAGGGCATATACCCTGGTTGCGGGCATATTCCCAATAGGGGGTGTGCAAGAGGCAGCTGATCAATGACTCTCTCTCATCAATGTTTCTAACTCTCTATCTCTCTCCCTTCTTCTCTGTACAAAATCAATAAAATATATATTTTTTAAAAAAAGACTACTGCAGCCCAGAATAATTTATTCCTTTCGCATTCCTTTACTGCTTTTATTGCAGTGCCCATCCGGACATAGGAAGGAAGAGGAGCCCTCTCTTCCCAGTTCAGATGGCAAAATTAGGGCTTAGAAGACATTTACTCACGTTCATCTACTAAGTGCCAACAGTAATGGAACAAAATAGTTCTTTGTTCATGTCCCTTTCAATGATATATATCCCTTATTCTCCAAATTCAATGGCAAGGAGGGGGGGTATCTTTTTCAAAAATCTCTCATTTTTAAAAAATATATTTTTATTGATTTTTTACAGAGAAGAAGAGAGATAGAGAGAGTTAGAAACATCTATGAGAAAGAATCATTGATCAGCTGCCTCTTGCACACCCCCTACTGGGGATGTGCCCACAACCAAGGTGCATGCCCTTGACCAGAATCGAACCTGGGACCTTTCATTCCGCAGGCCAACGCTCTATCCACTGAGCCAAACCGGTTTCGGCAAATCTCTCATTTTTTTTGTTAAAAGGTTATGCTGATTCTTTAAGCTATCACAGTGCAATTTTTAAAAAACTTTACGTGGTGAGTTCCAAAGCGCTAGAAACATTATTCTCACAAAATTAAGCATAATACGATGACAAAAGAATGATGATGAGAACAAACTGGAACAGAGATATTTATTTTAATTCCTCCTACCTGGATACCTTCCTGCCAGAAGCCACTTTGACTGTAACATTGGAACAAAGCCCGGGGTTGGCCACATCCCAGATAATCAAACACACAATCGGGCCAAAAATACTCTTAAGATGTGTGGGTTTTTAATCCTTTGTTATTGTTTTGTTTTTAACGCTAAAGCTGACTCCGGTGAAAAAGTGACTCCAAGAACAAGATGTCAGCCAACAACAGGGCAGAAAGAGAACAGAATTCGTATGTTCACTCAGGGGCCTTTTCTTCCCACTCATCTGCACTTCGCTTCTCTCCTGGACTGATGTGGAGTGGGAGCCAATCTGTGAGCAGCATCTGGGTTTGATGAAAAGCTGTGTATCCCTCGGGTGTGTCTGGTAGAGTCAATCTGTGCAGAAGGGAAAGCTGAGGGCTGGTGAGGAGGGAGAGATGGCTAAGCAAACTTCAGGAGGTGGGAGTGAGAGGAAACACCCCGCCATCGCCATGGCAATATCCTGGCCATCTCTCTTCCTCCCAGTGTTTGCAGAGTGCTAATTACTCTTGTCTGGAACTATGTGTACGGCCCCATCATCTCCGCTTCACACACACACACACACACACAAATGAGGCACAGAGAGATGGTGAGGCATCAGTGAGCTGACACTCAAGCACGTGGACCCCGTCTATTCATGCCCTGTGTGCACGTTTTGACAGCGGCCATGACATTGAGCTCGGCAGCAACTTCTGAAACCTAAAGACATACATAGTCTAACAAATCAACAAGTGGTTCCGTTTGCAAATTAGAATTTATACCTAACGGTGGGTTCTGGTAGATCACAGTCTTAATACATAACCCCATTACCTTCCAAAGTAGACATTTACCACATGTTTACTGATCATTCCTGACAAAGAACTGGGGTGGAGAACGAAGCTACCCTAGGTCTACGAGCCCTGAGTATAACTGAGGCACCGGCAGGTGGGGGAGAGGAAGAGGAAGAAGAAGAGAGCAGGTTAGCAGTGCACAGCTCAGGTGGTAGGTTTTATTACATGAGGGGCCACACCATGTCCTACTTTGTGCTGTCCGAGAGAAATATAATACAAACCATATATGGAATTAAGGTTTTTTTCTAGTAGCAACATTAAAAAAATGAAAAGAAACAAAATTAATTTTAATAACATATTTTATTTAACATATTTTAAATGCCATTCCAATACATGATTAGCATGTTATTAATGAGATTTTTTACTTTTTTTCCTGTACCAATTCTTCAAAATTGGGTGTGCCTTTTATACTTCTGGCACACCTCAATTCGGACTAGCCAGAGTTCAAAGTGCTCAGTAGCCAGCTACATGTGGCTAGTGACTACCATATTGGACAGTGAAGTTCTAGCTCATAACTTATATGCTTTTCTATGTATGTGCTATACTTTTTAAAGTTTTTTTTTTAAAAGCCTATATAATAAAAGCCCAATATGCTAAGTGTCTAGTCTACCAGTCCTCCGTTCAACCAATCAAAGTGTAAAATGCTAATGATATGCTAAGGCCGCTCAACCACTCACTATGACATGTACTGACCACTCTGAGGCAGACGCTCTGACCAGTAGGTTAGCTTGCTGCTGGGGTCCAGCCAGTCGGGACTGAATGGGACCAGCCAGACATGCAGTGGAGCCCTCCCATGGTCTCTCCCCAGCTGGCCAACCTCATGTGTCTCTCCCTGGCCCCAATCGTGCGCTGCTGGTATCCCTTGGCCTGGCCTGCACCCTCTCACCAATCCAGGATTCCTCAGGAGATGTCAAAGAGCTGATTTCAACCTGATCCTGCAGGCCAGGCCAAGGGACCCCACTGGGCATGAATTTGTGCACTGTGCCCAAAATAAACTAAAAATTTTAAGTTTTAAAAATTCAGTGTTGCTTACTGATGAGAGTGTGAAATTGGCACAAACCAGGTGAATGGCAAATGGGCTGCACATACCAAAAGTGTTAAAATTGTGCATTTGTAAAATCTAACAATTTGTTTTCTTTATCTTAAGGAAATAATCAGGCTATGTACAAAGATTTAAACACAAAGATGCTCACTGCTGTGAAAACATAGGAAAGCCCTGAATTTCCACATAAGAGATTATGATCGAGTACCTTGAAATACATTTTTTAATTCAATATTATTCATGTGTGTGTGTGTGTGTGTGTGTGTGTGTGTGTGGGTGTGGGTGTGTATGTGTGTGTGTGTGTGTACATAGAAAACTTCTGGAGGAAAATATTAAGAAAAAGGTCCTAGTGTTACCTCAGGG